CAGGGGTTTGAGGTTGCTGTGAGCTAGGCTTACGCCATGGCACTCTAGCCAGGGCAACAGAGCGAGACTCTGTCTCAAAAAAAGAAAAAAACCACAATGAGATACCACTTCACACCCACTAGGATGGCTATAATAAAAAAGATGGACAATGACAGGTGTTGACAAGAATGTGAAGAAGGTGGAATATACTGCTGGTGGGACTGTAAAATGGTGTGGCTCCTGTGGAAACAATTTTGCAGTTCCTCAAAGAATTATACATAGAGCTACCATATGACCCAGCAATTTCGCACCTAGGTATATACCCAAGAGAATTTAAGACGTATGTCTACACAAACACTTGTACATAAATATGCACAGCAACATTATTCATAACACCCAAAAAGCAGAAACCCAAATGTCCATCAGTTGGTAAATGGAAAAACAAAATGTGGCAGATCCAGACAGTGGAATATTATTCAGTCCTAAAAAGCAATGAAGTACTGATTTATGCTACAATATGGATGAACCTTGACAGGTCATGGTAAGTGAAAAAAGCTAGACACAGAAGGTCACATATATAAGCCTATTTATATGAAAAATCCAGAATACACAAATCCACGGAGACAGAAAGTAGACTAGTCGTTCCCCAGGCTGAAGAAGGAGGAATGGGAAAGTGACTGCTGTGCCACAACATGGAAGAACTTCTAAAACATTACGCTGCAAGAAGCCAGACATAAAGGCCATGTATTGTATGATTCCATTTATATGAAATGTCCAGAATAGGCAGAAAGTGATTGCCAGATACCAGGGGTGGGACAGGGATAAGCAGTAATGGGGAATGGCTGCTAATATGTAGGGTTTTGTTTTTTTGGTTTTTTTGAGCAATGAAAATAATCTAAAATTAGATAATGGTGATTGGTGCACATCTGTATGAATATACAAAAAAAATTAAATTTTATACTTTAAAAGAGTGAATTTCATGGTATGTGAATTATGTCTTAATAAAGCTGTGATTTAAAATTGTTTTAATTTAAAAATGGAATTGAAAATATCATAATGAACTTGAGGTTTCTTTGAGGAATACTATCAAAAAGACCCTTGTATTGTCAATTAACAGCTATGAATTCAAATGATTTAAAATCAAAAACAAAAATACCAAGACATATTTAGTACTACGTGACCTTAAAGGTGTGCTAATAAATTATCTTCAGATTGAGAAAATGTTAAAATGTGCCTATGCTTCAAAGGTGTCCTTCTTTTAACTTCTTTCCAAAGAGACAGACACATGACCAACCCCCCCCACCCCACCAAAACCACAACCGTCCCCTGAAAAATCTCTGAATTCTACCATAAAGCATCTCAACCATATATTTCTGAGCTCCCAAGGGTAAAACCAGCCAGAGTTCCACTGATTCCTTTGACACTGTGCTCAGAGAAAAGTATGCTGATTACTAGAACATTCCATTATAACCCTGATGTTTACATTTTGGGACTAGAAATAGAAAATCACCAAACTCTTTGTATCCATTAACACAAACCATACATACTCCCGATTGGCCTTGCAGGGCTACATGGGATTCGATTCCAGATGCCCAAGACACACGAATCTAAAACGAACTTCCTGCAGACCTCTTATTGAGCTGTATCTAAGCCGACTATGCTGGAGACCAAAAGTCTCAAGTTTTGCTGCCAAAGTCTAGCCATCCCCAATCTCACTTTCCCAGAAAAGGCAAAAAGCTCAAAGTCTTCAAAAGTATGTTGGGCCAAGGATAAAAAGGTTAAAGTCTCCGATTGCCACCACCCTGGCAGTTTCCGCCAAATTTTCTCAAAGTCAGAACTTGGACAAGAATAAAGACTTCTGGGACTGTGGCTTCTTCCAAAATCCAATTTTCATGAGAATTCCATCCTATAAGCCATAAATTTTTTAACCTAAGGGGAAAGCACTGGAGCATGAACAGAGTTCGGGCGGCCCGTGAGACTTTAGACAACTGGCATCCCTCACTATAGCACTCGGTTTCCTTCCTATGAAATCAGGCTCGACTAGGTGATCTCCCAGGAGTTACCACATCTGGCCACACGTCAAAATCACCAGGAGAACGTCATAAAAATAAAGAGTCTCACTTCTCAACTCCACAAATTTTATTCAGAAGGTATTTTTTAAAAAAGGTCAGGAGATTCTATGATCAGCTAAGTTGGGAATCACGGCTATAGTCTCTTTGAGCTCTAAAATTATGATTCTGGAACTATCTTGTCCAATATAGTAAGCACAAGCCACATTTCAAGTGTACAACAACCACAGCTACCTCTAATCCTATCTCTCTGATCCTAATTCCCCTTCTCACCGTCTTTTCCCCAGCCTCTGTTACAGAAGAAAAAGAGGAAACATTCAGTAACCAAATTATAGATTAAGGAAATTATGATTTTAGAATGATTCTGTCCAATATAGTAGCTTCTAGCCACATTTCAAGCATACAATAGTCACGTGTATCGCACAGTTTAGATATAGAACATTTTCATGATTGCAGAAGGTTCCATTCCACAGCTAAAGACTCTCTCAAACACACATCACTTCATCTCTATTCCTTCCTTGCCCTGTTTTTATTACACCATTTCTTCAATAACTGGCACTTTCCAGTCCTCAAATATGTTAGTTAGCCCATGAGAAACATAGACTAAGGTCAAGCGCAACTTCCCCTGGTCTCTATGGAGAAACTAGGAGTAAGAGAAAAAACTCTTGACTCTTCTGTATGCATATATTCCCCTCCTCTCTTGCCACACACACACATACATACCATAATAAAAATGAAACACCCAGACGAGGCTCTCCTAGTCTCCTATGGTGTCAACAGCAGTGCTGAGCAGAACAGATGCTAGTTTCAAAGTAGATTTGGGCTGGATCTGAACTTGCTCTTGGACTGGGCATCTTGCGACCTATCACCTACAATGTATGTCGGGGAATCTTCCCTCCTCTGATCTGCCACAGCTCTGCCTCTACTACAGGGGTTTCTCAACAACAGCAGTATCGACATTTTGTACCAGCTAATTCTTTACTGGGGGGTGGGAGCTGCATGCTAGGAGTTTAGCAGCATCCCTGGCCTCTACTCACTACATGCTAGCAGTACCCTCGCCCAGGTGTGACAGTCTCCACGCTTTGCCAAATATTCTCTGGGGAGACAAAATCCCTCTCCCCACCTGTTAACAACTACTTCTCCAATCCTACCTCCCTAATTCAAATTCCCCTCCTTACCCTCTCCTCTTTTCCCCAACCTCTGTTACAGGGAAAAAAAATTAATAAGAAACTTCTATTAAGCAAATTACAAGTTTTTAAGCAAAAACAAACAAACAAAAAACTTCCAAAGCAGACTTCTCAACTTGCCTCTCTTCTTTTATGCAAAAATGTTTTGAGTGAATTCAGCAGATTCTATGAGATTTACCAATTTTGGCCCCTAGGATAAGACAAAGAAAAGCAGGCATCAAATACAAAAGCTTCTTGTTATAAAACATAGGGAGTATGGCTCAGGAGGAGATGCAGGTTTTGGTCTGAAGCTTATTCATTTCGGAGGCCCCTTCTCAAAAGAATACAAAATTATACATATAATACTGGATACAAAAATAAATCTTTATCTAGAATGAGAAAAGAAATCATAATCTATTATAAAGTTTTAAAGATAAATACTGTGGCAAACACACCCCAGGTGACCCTCAGTGAGGGGAATATGGTGACAGCTAAGAGATTACCCCCAATTCTACTTCATCACTGCAGACTCTGTCTTAGCTGACTGCAGACTCCTGCCGACTTGAAGCGGCACGCTGCCACGGTGTAAGCTGCCCATGGAGGGCCATGTGACAGGGAACTGTGGGCAGCCTTTAGAAGCTGAGGGCCTATGTCTACATTCATGAGGAACTGAACTCTGCCAACAATCTGGAAGTTTGGAAAAGGACCCTGAGCCTCAGACAACGTCACAGCCCCAGCCGACACGTTGACTGGAACCTTTAGGGACCTTGAGCAGCGGACTCAGCTAAGCCACATTCCCATTCCTGACCCATGAAAACTGTGAGATAATAAATACATGCTGTTTTAACCTGCTAAATTTGTGATTATTTGTCACACGGCAATAGAAAACTAACACAAATAGCACTGACATCACAAAATCTAGCAAAATAATGCAATAGTTTTACTAATTAAACTGCCTGACACGCCTCTGGAATACCTTCTACTTTTTGTTTGCTAGATATTCTTTATCTTGTCATACGCCAATGATTTTAAAATATTTCCTATAGAGAGTAAAAAATAATTTAGTCTTTCCTCTAGCATGGTTAATGAAAATTTCTCTGGTATTGACAGGTGAGAGAAGGTTTTTTCAGCTTCACAACTATATGACATTACTAGTAATGAAAGTTTTAAGACTATTGTCAAATTTAGGAAATCTCTATCGAGCTCTGCTAAAAGAAGCTATAAGATCTGAAAGAACTTTCTGGAGCAATTTCTAGCACCATATGTTTTGACCCTTGACTCTCCACCATCCACACACTTTCAGCGCCAGCTGCCATAGGACGTGTTCATACTGGATCCACCCCAGCCCTGCACCTCCCATCACAATGCTGGTGAGCGAGCACAGTGGGCAGTGGGAATATCCCTACAGCTAGCAATAACTTGACCTCATGCTAAAGTGACTCCAAACCACATAAATATATATCACTATTCCCCAACTAACCTGATCCCTAATTTAACCCCCCTTGGCTAGATGTGGAAAATGCCCATGGCCACTCCAATTGCACCCAACACAAGAGGAAGCAGGACAAAGGGAATGTTTAATGAAAAGAAATTGTGATCTTAACTATTGGTTAACTGTGGTCGCCATACCTTTCTTTTACATTTCACAAAACCGTGTGGATGCAAGCCCAGATTTGCTCCATGAACCCCGGTGCACATGGGGGATGGGCAGAGAAACACAGCTGGAGTAAGGACATTGCTACAGCAGAGGCCATCACGAAGGCAGTCTGCGCCTGGCGTGTCTTACCTCGTCATACATGAACTGAAGAGTCAGGGCCGACTTGCCAACCCCTCCACTGCCAACCATGATCACTTTGTGGAGGGCCAGGGAGCTCTGGCCCTTACTCTTGTTTGCAGCCATCCTGCTGATTTTCCGAGCTTGCAACACACGGACAGAAGACCCAGTTGAAGAGCTGCTGACGACAAAGACAAAGACTTAGAAGAAGTTTGCTTTCTACCCAAATGAAATCAAATGTCATTCATGCCTTCCAGAAAAGCCTAACCCAGACAGCACTCCAACAGAAAAGTAATTCTTCTAGGCTCTGGGAAGATATAAGAGCCCTCCAAAAACTCCGTGTCATTCACCCCAGCAGAGCCAGGGCCAGAGCGAAAGCAAGATGAGAGAGAGGAAACGGGGCACACACCCCACACCTGTGTCACTGGAGGGTGGAGAGGAATCACCACTAAAAACCGTTATTCCCTCAACAAGGCTTCACTGAGGCAGAGTGACCAGACTACCCCAAGTCCCAGTTTCCTAGTTCTACCCCAAGTCATCTGGTGCCACAAAGAACAGCTGGGACCTCAACCTCCAGCTCTTTATCCTCTCTCCTCTCCTTGCCCTTGTACCCTCCACTTCCCAACACACCCACATATGCACACAGACTCACACATTCACATATACACTCAAACACACTCACATATATACACTGGCATATACTCACAGACACACATATACACACAGACTCACACACTGGCATATACACACATTCACACATATACACACAGACTCACACATTCACATATACACTCAAACACACATATACACACGCTCACACATACACACAGACTCACACACTGGCATATACACACACACACTGACATATACACATGGACTCACACACTCACATATACACACAGACTCACACACTGGCACATACACACACACACACACACATACACACAGATTCACACACTGGCATATACACACACACTGACATATACACACAGACACATACATATACACACACACTCACATATACACACAGACTCACACACTGGCATACACACTCACATTCACTGACATATACACACAGACTCACACACATATACACACACATATACACATGCTCACACATACTAACATGTACACACACATATACTGACACATACACACAGACTCACACACTCACATATACACACACACACACACTCTCACACAGTGCTCCAGTAGATTCAGGAGGTGGGCTGAAGAATTAAGCACCCCTTCACGACACATGACAGAGCTAAAGGAGGAAGAAATCAAGTTATTTACTCCAGGTTTATTTAAAGGAATTTAGTAAAATGAGTTAAGCTTTTCTAAAATAACAACTATTAGTCGAAATCAGTTCACCCTCATGAGAAGTGATATAAAATGAGTGGCACGACCCCAGCACTGTGGGAAGACAGAGCACCCCAGGTGAGTAATTGAATAGTACCTGGACCCTACTGTAACCCAAGTGCCAATCTTTATTTTAACCAATTTGTATGGAAAAATCTCTGTATTTCACATACATCACAGAAACAGAGAAAGGACAGGGCTTAGGCATCTGGTGGGCCTCAGTCTGGTTTTGCCATTTGTGAGCTGTTTGAGCTGGAACTAGTTATTCACTTTCCCCAAGCCCATTTTCTCATCAGCAGACAAGTAAACCACCTACCTTGCAGGATTGTTCTGAGAATTCAATGAGACAACATACGCGAAAGGCCTAAGCACAGTGCCCGGCATACAGCAGGAACGTAATCAACGTTGGTTTCCTTCCTGTCTAATTTCAAGGAGAAGTTTTTTCTAATTATAACATGACGGACTCCGAGTTCCATCACCACTGACAAGATAACCTGAAAACACCCCCACTAGAAAAATAAATACATACATACAACACACACATCTTTGAGTAAAATAAAACAACATCTTTTAACTCCGTGGTCCCCATTCTTGGCTACATAATGGAATCACTGGGGAGCTTTAGAAACATCCTGGTGCCCAGGTCCCACGCTGGCGATTCTAATGAAATTGGTCTGGGACATGGGAAATTCTACAAGCTTCCCAGGAGATACTAATGGGCACCCAAGGCTGCAAGCTGCTGTTAAATGCACAGCCGAGCTCAAAAGGAAGTAAGAAATCCCCAAACTAGGGTGAGGGGGTAGAATCGGAGCAGCGAGAGCAGCCGTTCCTGCAGTTCTGGATGGTTGCTTTTCTAGGATTTAACACACACACTCGCCGAGCTTGGAGATGAGACACCCACGCAGGTAGGTTAGAATCGAGACATCTTCTCAAGAAAGAACTGAGAAGTCAAGACTTTCGAAGCAGTACACCTTCAGGTAAAGAACAGACTAGAAAAACATCTGTCCACCAACACAGGACAATGACAAGGAAGTTTCTCTGCCTGGGCTCTGGCTGAGGACAGGCTTCCCTAAAAGTTTATAACCACAACACTTCTCCAAAGCAAATAAATCACATGAAAAGTTGTCCCAGACTGGTCACGAAGTACAGGAGCCCCGGGCAGAGTGCTAAACATAACCTCTCAGGGGGGCCAATGTGCAATGAGACTGCTCACCAGTCTCACAGCTAAAGCCCACCATTCCAACTTAAGAACACACAAGAAAATCGCCATTCATGAGAGTCAACATACATAACAAGCAAGACATTTCAGACAGCTATTATAAAAAGTATTATTTGATCAATTTTAACAAAGATAAGAGCAAAATGTGAGAAAACTGACACTATGACGGAGTTGAACAAAAACCACTCTGAATGCCTAAACTATATTTTTAAGTATTTAAAATGAAAAGTATGAGGCTCAGTAGCAAATTTACAAAATACACAACTATATTTTAAAAAAGAAAAGCACATATGGTCCTGCCACCCAGAGATATTCACTTTAATGGTCTATTTTCTCCTAGAATTTTGATCTATATATGCCTATATTTAAAACCTCTTTGACATCATATTTACGTAGCTTTGCACATTATTTTTCATGCATTATATTCATCTGTCTTCTGATGAATAAACAGGAACAGAGCAGACTGAATATATCATTAAGCCCTTTCGTGCCGATTTAAGGGCCATCAAAAGCGCGCTCCTCAGTTATGTGAATGGCCTTGGCTGCTGGAGTCAGATCACACCAGTGCTCATCTCCCCTCTGACACTGACAGTTTACCTGCCTACACCCAGGCATTGCCTCCACTCCCCTTTGCAAATTATGTGCTCTTTAATAAGTTAGCTAAGCAATTAACTAGATAATTAAGCACATTTGGATTGTGACTAAAATAGAATAAATGGGATAGGGGTAGCCCTCCCCAATAGGCAGCAGTTTAGAGATGTGAAACTACTTCTGGCCTCATTTCTGGTCCGCACGGTTTCCTACAGAGCTGAGGTTGGTGAATGAGGCTGCGACCTCCAGATCATCAAGCTGTAACAAAATTTCTCTGAAGCAACCTTGCTTCTATGAATTATTATAGTTGTCTCAAAATGGATAAATATTTTTCCAAGAAGTGGGTAGGATCCTTTAAAATACATGTAGATATCTAATTCTGATACTAATACATGTAGATATCTAATTCTGCTACTTTCAAAAACAAAATCAATTTCTCTACAAGAAACAATAATAAATCAATTGAAAACTATTCAACAAATCCACAGATATTTTCCAAAGTATCTGTGCTCAAAGTTCAAAAACTGAAATAACCATGGTGGGTATTTCCAGTGCGCATCACTGCTTAGCCAACTTGGCCCGGAAAGGACGGAAGAAGGGCAGAGGTGGCAGACACGAGTCCCTCAGTGAACCGATCCTGGAATGGCCACCTCCAGACTCCCAGTAGTAAGATAAGAAGCTTTTGACTGTTTAAGCCACATTTCGTCTCCTTATTGTTGTTCTTATTTTCACTTGTACTGAGAGCGGTCCAGAAACACAGTCTTTGTCCTCAAGAAACTCAAAGTCTGGTGGTTCAGACAGGTTAGTGAGTAAGTGATTACAGTACAGCATGATACATTCTACGGCCAAAGTATGCAAGGGGTGCTCTGGGAACACAGAAGAGAGACATCTAACTCAACTGGCAGGTCGCGGGAAATTTCCTGGAGGGAGCAACTCATGAAACTGAAGATTTGAAGGAACTAACCAGATAAATAGAGGAGACATACAAGGAAAGAAAGAAAAAAAATCAGTGAACTTAAAGAAGCTTGTGTTAGTGATTTAATGTTTATAATAGATGTGCCTAGCCAATAACTGTGTTCTTAAAAAATGTATTTAGGTAACCTTTTCTCCAACATTTTACTTTGAAAAGTTTCAAACACTCAGAAAAGTTGAAAGAACTGTACTGTGAACCCAAATACTTACCACCTGGATTCTACAATTAACATTCTGCTTCATTTGCCTTATCACAAACCCATTCATCTGTCATCCCTCTACCCATCAATACATCTATTTCTTTATGAATTTCAGTGAAAGCTGCAGATACCAGTGCACTTCATCCCTAATGTGAAGCATAGACATCCATTTTTTCCATAGTAATTATACTTCCCCCGCTGAATTTGCTAACAATTTCCAAACTATATCTACGGGGCTGGGACTACTTGCAGACCTCCTAATCTACTGCATGAACTATTTGGGTTCATAGCCCATTCATGACAGCCATAATACAGACCTTCCAACAATGGGAATGTTGGCCTATAACACCAAGTCCTGGCATGGTTCTCACCTTAGAGTTAAAAAGTCTTTTACAGGAGACTCTAGAAACATACCAACAGGCACCTGCTATGGACTGAACTGTGCCCCTCCCTCCCAAATCCATATGTTGAAGCCCTAACCCCCCATGGGACTGTATTGGAGAAAAGATCTGTAAAGAGGTGATTAAGGTTAAATGAAATCATAGGGGAGAGTTCTGGTCCTACAAAACTGGTACACTTACAAGAAGAAGAGATACCTGAGCTCTTTCCACCATGTGAGGACACAGCAAGAAGGCGGCTGTCTACAAGGCAGGAAGAGAGCCCTCACCAGAACCTGACCACAGTGGCACCCTATCAGACTTCCAGCCTCCGAACTGTGAGAAAATGAACTTCTGTTGTTTACGCCACCCCATCTTTGTTACTTTGTTATGGCAGCCCAAGCTAAGACAGCACCCTTCAATATGTCTCTACCTACTAGCATGAAAGCTCTGTAGT